AGGCGGGAATCGAACTCATGCGGAAGTGGCTTCAGATTCTCAGTGCTGTGCTTTAACCCGCTGCGCCACCAGGGAGGGCCCTCCCTCTCCTTTTTAAGACTTCTGCTCCTGCACTTGCATAGTTTCAAAACTCTCTCATCCTACATGTCTGCTTAGAGCATCAAAGACACTTGTTCAAGCGCCAACTAGACTGCTCACCTGGGCACATCACAAGCACATCCAGGCTCTGGGCACCGTATTCTGAACAGACTCCTTTCCCGACATCGTCTCTGAAGACAAACAGAGCCAGAGTGCCATGATCCAGTGTTGCACAAGCTTGAAATGCAGAATCTCCGGATGCTTCCTGCACCCTCAGTTCTCACAAATAACCTGCATGTTCCGCTAAATGTCTTCCATGGTATCTCTGGAGCTCATTCAACCCTCTCTAGTTCCCCTCTACACACACCATCCTCCAGCCTGCTGTATCCACCACTAGTCCTGCTAGTGCTACAGAGCATAATCCAGCGACTTTTCATAATCACAAACTTGCTTTCCATCCATCAGGGCAAGTCTGGAATATGATGGAAGTGATGCTGGAAGAGCCAGCTCCTGGCCCTCCCCCATCGTCCTCATGTCCAGTTACAATGGCCCATCCAGGTCTTGCCAAGCTCCTTCTCTCCAGGGCCTTGCCTCTGCTTGGAAGTCCCTCCTTCCATCTTTGCTTGGTGGCCCCATTTTTCAGTCTTCAGGTTCCAGCCTGAATGCACTGTCTCAGGGAGCTATCCTAAATCTCCTGTATTGGGTTTATTTCATTGTTCTAACTTCTCAAAACACCCTCCCTTGTTATTTCTGGAACTTGGGACACACTTCAAGTTTGTGTGGCCCCTGCTCATGAGTGTCCTCCAAATTGACTGCTCCCTAGAATAATCTCAAATTCCATATTGTCCTTGACACAGTCTGTGATAGTTAAATTTAGGTATGAACTTGGTTAGACTGTGACACCCAGTTACCTGGTCAAACTCCAGGATCGTTGCTGCTGGGGAAGTATTTTTAAGATGTGATTAGTTTTAAATCAGTAAAAAATCTGAGTAAAGCAGATGTCGCTCCATAAGATGGGTGGGTCTCCTCCTACCAGCTAAGGTTTGAAGAGAAATGACTAGGATTTCCCCGAAAAGAAAGGCTTTCTCTCTCAATTGCCTCTGGACTAGAAACCTCAATATCAACACATTATCAATATCACCTGAAATTTTCAGCCCTGAAAGTTTTGGGTTTTGATTCCTTGAAATAACTCTCTAGATGCCTGCTGTTGGCTCTGTTTCCTTGCAAGAAGGAAGGACTGACTAATACAGGCCAGATGCTTAATCATTATTTTATGAATGAATGAATATGTCTTTCTTTCCACTATTATTTAAGTCTATTGTTATTGTTGATTTATTTCTTCATTTTGTAAAGGATTTGTGGAAGAAATTCTTCAACACCTGGATCCTGTCACTTATACATAGCTTTTCTAGTGTGAAACCCCCAAATAGGCATGGGTTTTCAATATTTTTCATTTCTGACTTTAGCAGTTTCATGGCTCA